TACATTTATTAGTTAACAAGTTTATCTTAGAGCCATTTGAAAGCAAGAATCTCCTCAGCTACTTTAGTCAGATTTAAACTTGGAGCTTGTGTCCTTCCTGAATTTACTATTATGAAGCTGCTGTCCTAACTAGGATCCTAGAGGGGACTTTTGCTTACTACTCCAAATAGTTCAGTTTAGAAACTGCCCCAATTATTAATGACCTCACAACCATAATGTGGATCTCTGAAAACTTTAGATCTTTCTCCCCTCATTCCTCCCCATTGACTACCTCTAGTTTGCCCATATGAAACTCTATCCATGCTAAACAAAAATTGCTGTAAAACTCACTTCTGTTGCTACTAGGCCTCCTAGACCACTGTTTTGCTTGGTGTCTATTTAACGGTTCTTTTGTAGTACAAGCCAAGGAAGCGATTAAAGTTTTATAGTGTATTAATATTTTCCTTATTAAACAGAAAAGCTACACATACAACTGTAGAAAAAAACACAATTCATAGCATTCAAAGTATAATAAAAATATGCCTACAATGTACAAACTGTCTACCCTTCCTAACAATAAGGATGTACAATGTATGGGATAGGCATAAGTATACTAATCAGCTACTTAAAGAGATGTTCCACCCAAAAGGGGAAGTTCCGCTTTAAAGACTGGTCCCCCCCTCCCCATTAAGGATTGGCACCTTGGGGGAGCCGGGGGGGAGTGGGTACCCGAAATTGACAGGCACCCGCTCCCACTTCCGCTGCGATCGCCTAGGCGATTGGAAGCTGAAGTTATTCTCCCACCCTCCCTTGCCGTAGTCTTTTGGGACACATGACAGGTCCCAGAAGACTACGGGACCATTATGGAAGAGCAGAGCTACTCGTGCAGTGGGCACCAAAAGCCTTAAGCTGTCACAGCCGGGTGCCCACACTGAAGATGCCGTTGCCTGGAACACAGGATGGCCAGTGAAATGGGCTGCAGGGAGGACACCATGGGATCATGGGACAGGTGAGTCGCTGTTTTTTAAAAGTCAGCAGCTACAGTTTTTGTAGCTGCTGACTTTTATTTTTTTACAGTGTGAGTGGATCTCTGCTTTAACTTGGATCTTTCTGGTGATGGAATCTTGTCATGACTTGCTCTTTTAGAGTCCAACACAAAACTTCTGTTTCCTCTGAAGTCTCCAGAACAAGTCTCTTTGTCTCTGACCACATGCTTCCTAAGTCCTAATCCCGCCCCCCCCCCCCATTTACTGTTACGTCATATCCTGTAGAATAAAGAAAAAAGAATGGAACAGTACTATGTGCCTGGACACAGTATAGATGTACTGTATGTCCTGACCAAAATTAATTTTATATTACATTTTAAATTGACTCTGAACACCAACCAACTCATTACTAATACTTTACCTTACCAAATAAGTGAACTGTTTTTTGTCTGTGCTTTGCTAGTAACAGGTGCTCTTTAAATGTAAATTTAGGGTAGCATAATTTTTTTAGTTAATTTGCAATGAATAAGAAATAGCAAGTTTTATGTTATATTCAAAATACAACAAAATATGCTTTATCCTTAAAATCGTATTATGGTATAAGTGCGACATAACATTTAGCAGATCGAGTTTGCTCACAACTACAGCTGAGAAACATCCTGTTTACAGTTACGCATATTTTAGATAAAAAAATGTGAATGGTAAATTGAAAATTTGAAAATACAGCTGGTTTTATAATGTATTACATATAATGTATTTGCATTTTAATTTAAAATGTTAAACAATAAAGAATAACAGATACGTATAAGTGCTCACATCAGTGTCTGCTGGAAGAAATACCTGACATATCACAATATACACCAACACTATCATTTTTTTTTTTGAGCTCTGGTTAAGTGAATTCTGGGGTGATGTCATTAGTTTACTGCAGGCAGGAAGAAGCATTTTCTCAGTTCCTTTTTCTCCAGCTATCAGATTTGGACATTGCAACTTTGCAGAAAATCACAAGATGAAATACTGCAACAGGGGGGCTGATCTATGTCAAACATTTGTGAATTCAGCCAAGAACTGCAGGCACCAGGATTTGACCAGTGCAACATTTTTAGCATGTCTGAGAAAGTCTGAAGCAATAATTAAAAAGCACAGCATTGTTGCTAGTGCAACTGCAGCAGGTTAGCTCAGCAGTTGTAAATAAAACAAGTTTTAGCATAAGCTGATTGCATGTACTCATTTCAAAAGGTTCCCATTTAAAAGAATATATTGTTCTTCTATATGATCAGATTTCTTGAAAAGCCACTATGCCTAAGCTGCATTATCTGTCTCAGTCTAGGTTCACACTAGCCCACACACTGCAGGCTGGTTACGGGTGTTGGAATTCACTGGGATTCCAGCAGCTGCAACCACCCACAGCCACATCGTGTTTCTCTTGTGAGACTACAGGGGGTGCCATTCATTCTGAATGGTACCCCCATGTATCTCATCCCGCAGCATCAAAAAGACCATGAGGTTTCCCTGTGGATGTGTTTTGAAAAAGGTGCATACAATACACCGCGGAACAGCCCACGCTAGTGTGAACCAGTGGTAACTGGGATACATTCATAAAAAAATAATTGATTGATATAAAAAATGTGGATTGGAGATGGATTTAAAATTTAGAAATGCAAACTAAAGTATATGTAAACTCTCACATTGTAAAACAATTTATTTATAAAATAGAAATGAAAGGTAAAACATCTGTGTATACATATAAAAAAACCTTACAAATACTTTTTTCCCTTTTTTATGTGATCACATACCCTCTGTTCTCAGCTGCTTAAGGAGCTCAGAGAACTAGGGGAGGAGAAACAGCAGCACATTGATCTTCAGAGTGAAGAACTGTGCAGGGTGGGAATGTGTCAGCACAAGCCTGATCATTGGATTAGCTTCCAGCACAGCCAGAGAACTGACCACAGTATGCTGTCATGCATAGTGTGGTCAGTTTTTTAATAGGAAATCAGAGGGATTGGCAGAGAGAACATCATACTTTTTCATACAAATACATGATACAGAAGGCACATATCAGTAGTATGAAATGATGGGTTTACATATTCTTAAAGGTGATGTTGGGGGAGAAATATCTATATACAGATATACAATATATCTATATCAATAACATAACTGGCTTCCTGCTATGTGTTCCAATTTGGAACATGCACAGGTAGATGGGATCTTAATGCCACCAAACACATAACACAAGATGTAAAAAAACATAATTTTACCTTTATTTATGCCAGAAATGAAAAGAATTTAAATCAATGGCTGATTTAACAGACAAAACCCTGACTCTCCTAATATTTTCAAGCTCTTAATATAAGAGATGTAATAATACAGTAAAATATTATAATTTAAAAACCATCCTAGATACCGTAAATGGCAAAATGAATTAATCCAATTATATTGGTCACAGCAATCTAGTCCCTATATAGGAAGAGCGCTGAGGTTAATTGTTTGTTTTATTGGCAAAACAAATTATGCTAATTGAAGTGATGACCATTGATTGTAGGGAAGATGATCAAGAATTTCCATCGCATTTCGAGCAACTCTTCCTCAGGGACATTGAAGGAATTAAAGAATTTAAGTAACAAATCATAATAACATCTTAAGTTACAATAATGCATTGTTTAATACTGATGCAAATTCGTATGTGGCAGAAAATGTTTTTAGATATTGAAAGATAACAAGAGATGTACACTTATTAGATATGTAATGGTTAAAAGCAGTCCAGATTGTGGATCTGGTGGGTGCCCGTGCAGAGTATGTGGGGCAAACAATTGCCTGCCAGAACCCAGTAGCAATAGACCCATGGAACTAGCCTTGAAGCTGTAGCCATCACGCAGACAGCACAGCACCAATGAGTTTTGTGGCTGGGTGGAGCTTGATGAGAAAGCTGAGACACAAGTTCCCCATCAGGTAATTTTACCTTGTGATTAACAGAAGGAAAGGGGCTGATCCATCACAAGAAGAGGACAGACCTGATGGGGAACTAGTGTTTCAGCTTCCCTTTCAGGTTTCACTGATTTCTAGGAAGCTGTTGACACCAGTAATGGGATCTACCGTCTGCCACCGGAACAAAATTGAGTTAGGCTGAGCACTGATTAGCCATTCAAATGAAGCTTTGTATTTTTATCAGTGAATAGAAGGCTTCCTTTGATTGGCTGAGGTGGAAAACATAACCTCAGCCCGATTCGGTTTTATTTTGGGAGCAGATGGGAAGTCCCCATACTGCTGCCGACAGCCTCCTAGCAACCAGTGACACTGATAGTGGGTGGAGCCCAACTGGGAAACTGAGACACTAGTTTCCCATCAGATTCACCTTCTTGTTGAGATTGACATAAGTGCTCATATCATTGCATGAACACAGCATTGTGCACTTTAAGTATCTGATGCTACATACAGTTTATACAAGGCTGACAGTGGCTACATCAATTAGTAAAGAAAATGGCTTGTTTGGGTCAGCTTGACCTAAACTTACTATATGAAACTAAACATGGAGTTAGGTTTTAAAGTGATATTAACCTCCTCGGCGGTATGATTATTTCTGATTTTTTTGTGCTGAAAGCGGTACCATTTTTTTGCATGGAAATATGTAGTTTTTTTTTATTGTAGGCTGTAATTTTTAGGAATAACTCACTGAAATCTGTACGAACAAGAGTCTAGTAAACATCCCGGGTAGGATAAAATTTGAAACACGAAATCATAAATTATAATTTAATAAATAATCATAAAAAATAATAATATAATAATAATAAATTTATTTCAATAATATAATCAAACCAAAAACACTGAAATTTGAATTACAGAGGCAAATTCGCACATCGTTGAGCAAAGTCGCAAAATCATTTTCAGTGGCTGATGACGAATTTCCCCACAAATCATTATCACTCAATTCTGCAAGTGGTTCTGATTTACTATCGCTGTTCTCTAGCTGGTCTAAAACCGCTTTTGAAGTAAAGGGACGCTTTTTGGACACCATGGACTTTTCTAAGTTTCCAGGCAGAAAGAAAAGTCAAAATGCAGGCAGGGCACAGGACAAAGCAGTAGGGACAAAATGTATGTGAAATGCATTGAAACAGCAATGTTTTACTATGTAATAATCATTTTAAAAAAATGAAATTTTTTAAAAACTTCAAATTTGCCGCCGGTTCTGGCACCCGTATGTCCCGACGTCACAGGGACCGGAACACGGAAGCCGGGATCCCGGCATCGGCTGGAGGAGATGGCCAGGGACGCTGCAGGAGACACATTGTGGGAGCGAAGGACAAGGTAAGTGCTGCAGGGACTCCCTGAGCAACGCCGCATGGTAAGCCACACTCGGAAATACCGCTAAGGAGGTTAAAGGCAAAAAAAACAACACAAACATGTTATACTTACCTGCTCTGTGCAGTGGTTTTGCACAGAGCAGCCCAGATCCAACTCTTCTCACATCCTCCGCTGGTACACCTGGCTGCTCCCTCCTGCCCCCAGAGCAAGCAGATTGCTATAGGGCACCCAAGCAGGCTAGCTCCCAAGCCACTGCTCTGTGTGTCCATTCACACACAGAGCCACAGCTCTCTCCTCCTCATTGGTTCAGTAATTGTGATTGAGGAGCCAATAAGGAGGGAGAGTCCCAGGAGAGTCTAGGCTCTCGTGCACATTGCTGGACTGCGATGGCGCTCAGGTAAGGGGGATGCTGAACACACCAGATTCATAGAATGCATGAAGGTAAAAAACCTTGAGCCTTTACAACCACTTTTAAGTTATAGTTTGTACTGTATAAGTTTACAATTTGTTTAGCATTATTCTGAACAGGGATAAAACTTACTGTGGTGAACAGTATGTAGCACTAAAACAGAACAATGTGTATCATGGTGTTTTGAACCTTATTAAGGGGGTGGCTGGAACCAACTAAGGCCACATTCACACCTTCGCGTAGTGGGAACTTGTGTTCCCACTTATTTTTTTTGTGTGTTTTTGTGCATTTTGAGTAAATGGGCTACGCTATGCTCCATAAATGCTCCAAAGAAGTTCCAGAACCTTTTTTGGATGCGGAATATTGAAAATCTTTTCAAATAGTTTTTTGGCGTGTTTGTAGTATGCTTGCAGGATGGCTGCACTTGGGGTATCATTAACAATTATTGGCACCATTAGTGTGAGGTGAATTTGCAGCACATTTCCTGCGTGTTTTTTTGCACATTCAGGAAATGAAAAGTAAGAATGGAGCCCTAGATTTATTAGATTTGAAGAACTATGAATCCATTTGCTATGGATAACAAGCATAAAAACATTGGTAATGAATAGTAATTGATTTTTTTAAGTGCATAAAAGCCATAAAAGTTCTTCAAAGCCCAAATCTGAATAGGTAAAAATTATCTCCTGTAGCGGGGCTGTGCCTGCACCACAAGACACTATTGCTCATTTTGTCTAGGGGAAAGGAGAAACAGTTGTACTTACCTGATCCTCTACTACCCAGGCAGATGTCGCTCCCTATGATCCAGTAATGGACTGTCCTTCACAAGCATCATGTCTAATTCAGGGCTATGGACTCTGCTTTGTTCTTGACAACGTCAGGGTCCTAGGCCATTAGGGCTTGTAGGAGAAGAAGCTGCAGGGACCTGTCTAGCTGTGAGGAATAGTGGAGGATCAAGTAAGTAAATCTTTTTCTTTCCCCTAGACCAAAAACAAGCAAATAACCCTTGCATAATATTTTAAACCTAAATAAACTGCGTTTAGTGCAAAGTAAAATTATTCCCCAAATAATGTTTACAGCAGCACTCAAAACATCAAGCTATAGATGTACCATAAATTATAAACTGAAAAATTGTTGATCTGTCCCTTTAAATAAAACATGTAAAGCACATGAGAGAAACTCACACACAGATACATCAAGCGGACGTGATGACATCAGCACAGGCTCCGCCCTGACACATTTCATCATAAGAGATGTTCATACATGCACAATATGCAAAAGAGTAGTGGTCTCCCTTAACAATGATAAAGAAATTCTTGCACACGTTCAGCCACTGTACACAAACAAATAGCATTGCCACATTTCTTATTTCCCACTCTCCAGCTTTACCTTTCTGCTTTTACTGCTAATGTTGATATAAGCACAAAAACAGAATTCCGACTGGAGTAGAGGCTTTATTCAATAAACAACTTACAACAGCATGGGTGGGGGGGCCCATGGAACCCAGCTCACTTTGGAGAGGTGGGGAGACCCTTGTCTCAGCTCCCCATATCCCTCTTATGTGTAAATCACCCTGTGCCTGTTAGGGGTACAGGGTGATCTGTCCTAATATTGTGTGGGCTTTGTCTCAGACTGTGTAGACATGTTTAGGAGATAGGTGGGGGTGGGGGTTGTTGATTGTTTAATGTTATGTGGCTGCATCCCATTGTTCTATTGTTTGTCTGGCTTGGGAGCAAACTATTATGGGATGTATGTGTTTATGTGTATTAGCTTAGTGGGGGGGGGGGGGGGGGTGTCTCCAGCAGCACTCCCTCCTGATGGAACTGTCTGCTGGTGTGAAGTTTGAATACCTGTGTGTCTCTTGTTACTAAATGCAGATTGCCCCGCCTTGTGTCATTATGCAGGGAGGGGGGATTGTCCCCTGAGTGTATGTATCTTGTATCTATGTTCAAATGAAGAGTTCCATGTTCAGACAGACTGGTGTCGTCTAGTCTTTTATGGTCGGCTGTGGTGTCTGTTGTCGGTGTTCGGGCGGGGAAGCGGTACTGTGACGGAAGTACTCAAATGCAGTCTGGGTTGGTTCTGTTACAATGTTTCACACCAGGCCTATTTTTGCCGCTGTAAGTGCTTACTTGAATAAGTGCTTTACTTCATTTGTGGACTATTTTGTGCATATATGCAAAGACATGACTGGTTCTCTTTAAGGTACAAGAGCTGCAAACCCTCCTTCTTGTTATTGTCGCAGTAACGAGTCAGAAAAAGAAGTTAGATTTTCTGTGATTCTGTATATGCTCTTCTAAGAAAAACGTTCATATGGCCAACAAAATATTGCAGAAGCAAATTTTACTTACTGTAGTCATGTAAAAATATGAATTCAGAGTGCCAATAGGCTGAAATAGAATCTCCAGTGACCAAGTGTTTTTAATGCTGTTTATTAACTGATACTAAATGTGGATATAGAGCACACTCACTGGGACCAATTCCTTTTGGCCTGAAAATTTTAAACTCTCAAATGTACTCCAGTCCAGATCTAATTAATGGGATAACATCTGCTTAAAGCATTTTTCTATGATAACTTCTATCAAGTTCTCTGCAATTCTGGCTGTCAGAATTCATAGTTTCCAAGAGTGATATTAATCTATAGCCTTGAAATAAGTAAAAAGTCAGTAGAGTGTAGAGTAGCTTTTACTTAGAATATGTTTATGAGCTGAGCCATTGGGGCTGGTTCATTTACATATCAATAGTAAAGAACTTTAGCATAAAGAAGTGACATAATCTGAAAGGCTTCCTAGATTTGTGCCCGCTTTGAATAAATAGCATCATGATTGGAAGGCATTGTTTAGGCAATCTGCGGTTTAACCTGTGAATACTTCTTTTCAAAAATTACAGAAATATACATGACAATTTTTCTTCCCCTCCTCTTAAGATCCATAATGTAAATAAATCACATAAAGCATTTAAATATTAAAAATATATTTTTCATTTATGCGGTGCTGGAAGAATACATGAAATGTTGCCATTTAAAAAAGAACATGTGCCAAGACTGTTCATTTCCAAGTAAGAGCAGTAAACACACTTTATACAAGCAGAACTATAAACCGAGCCCTCATTAACCTCTGTAGCTATATGGAGAAATGTATCCTCAAAGTTTATCATAGACGCACTGAAATTACAGCAAATCTCTCTTTATTTTTTTTTATTAGCAGCAACTTGGCAGTTCACCAACTCCATTCATAATAACATCTGTAGACATGCAGAGGATCTCTATGTGGTTGTAGGTGATTTTATTCATGTCAAACATTACATAATAGATGGCGCCTCAATCTGCTCATTACCATCAAAGTAACTATATGGTGACAATGACAAAAAAGTATTCAGTTAGATAAAACACCAATAAACAAAACAGAGCACCGAAAAAACAAAAATCACAATGAACTGTGAGGCTGTCCCTTTGAGTGCCTATAAACACTTGTGCCAAGAAAAAATTCTATATAAAAGTTAGATGCTCAACACAAATATGCACATAAACAATGTGAGAAATCCAAATGTGGCTTATTCCACATAAAGTCCAATAAATATTTTCCACTGAGTCCCAACACCAAAATGTGCAATCACTTGTACTCCCTGCTCACTGCTTCTATTTCAGTGTATTTCCATGTGTCTCACCACATGCACCAGAAATGCGCACTTACTGCACTAATGTGACCTCTTAGTTAAAAGAAGGTCATGCAGAGCATTATTAAACCACTTCTGGGCTGGTTATGAGAAGGTCATCTGTGCTTTCCAGTATTTCTGATCATTCAAGTGAGCCCTAGGGTAGATCTCTCACCAACATGTACCCAGAAAAAACTCAGTGTAGTGTTTATTAAATGATGTTATATACAATAAAGCCAAAAAGGTTGTAAACTCACATTTTTAGTGCCCAGAGATAAGCACCAATATAAACAGCCTGCTGTGTATTCAAATGCTGCGCCGCTCCGATCCCTGGAGCCAGCGTGCGTTCCAAAGTAAAAAAACAGCTTTGTTCAAAAGGACAGAAAGTGCTGCCTCTGATGACAACAAGTGTTGAAACATATTAAGCAGAGCCACACTTTGATTGAAGTTCCCTACATTGAGTCTGCGGTCTGCTTTGACCCTCAACCTGTGTTCACGGTTGAAGCCAGCGGCTTTACTTGTCTATGAAAGTACCTCCTTAGTCTCGGGCATGACACATGGCAATGGGAGTGTACCTATGATGGGTTTTATTAATATATAATAGATTGTTTTACACTATGAAACCTTCTTTTATGTTTTTTGGCATGTTAGCAAATGGACTGAAACTGTGGGAACCTTGCAAGCTGATTAATGACAAGAGTGGATCTATTAACCCATCGTTGGCTGTTAAAGATTGCATAGTGCTCCAGTAGGATTGGAAGTGGATTGCATTGTGTATGTTACCTTTTAACCGCCTCCCGCCTGCCATATAAGGAAATGACGGGCGCAATGTGGTTCTCTCGTTCTGGGAGGATGTCATATGATGTCCTCCCACTTTAACCGCGCGTGCGCACCCCGGGGGCGAGCAGTGCGGCGATCGGTGGTGCTCTGTGTCCCTGGGACACAGCGGATCACCGATCAACAGAAAGAACCAAAGATGTCGGCTCTGTCATGTGATCAGCTGTG